GATTGAAACTGCATCTAAATTTACACAAATTCTTTAATCTGACCGATGTAGACAGGAAAAATGTGAATAATATTTATAACATTTAACATGGTTCAACAGTAGGAATGACTTATAGTTCAGTGTTTGTGGGTTGTGGCCCCATCAGAGGGGCCTCAAAAAGCTGGGAAGATAAGAAAAAATAATCTAATGAAAGTTTTAAATCATTGTCACAAAACTGAATCTGTTTTCCAATCGTTATTTTAAAAATAAAATGTGTAAAAATACTGTTTGGGAACTCCTGATAGCAAATCATTTTCAGGTTCTTTCATGTTTAAAAGGTTTAAAACATTAAGCTTTGACTCATAGAGTTATCTGACAGAAACAAACGTTTATGTTCACTCTTCTTACGATCGAAATCTGCAAACAGGTTTAAATTCTTCTGATTTATCAGGAGATCATTGAAAGGATATATGTGACCCATCATATCAAAACAATTATGTCTGGGATGTAGAGAAAATGTTAGATTTTAATTCAAACGTTTGTAAAAATTGAATTTTATAAAAACATAACAAAAGGACTCATCAATATGAATGTCTGAAATGTAATCCTAAAAAAACAATTTGAGCTGGAGCAACAAAAATCCTGATTATGAGGAAAAACACCTCATAATGCTGAATTTTTCCCGGTGAGCAAGCAAAGTTATAGTTTCTTCCAGCTTGTAAACTTCAATATACAAAAACTATTAGAGGTTCTTTATACTAACATCAAAAATAGGATTCAGACAAAATATTTATGTATCATCGTAACCACTGGCACAACTTGGGGTTATGATCTAAAACCCTGTGTGTCATTTTTAGCAACGATTTTAACCATATATTTATTGTGTGTGTGTGTGTGTGGGGGGGGGGGGGGTCACATATATACAAAATATTTCACTTATGTGTGTTTTGTTAAAAGCAGTTTTCTTCGACACGTGAACTTTGAGTTTGAGGAAGTTTGATTAAATGGCTGAAACTTTCAGCAAAGCATTGCCACCTCGCTGATAAATTGCTCCTTTTCCTCCAATATCGATATCATACTTTCATTTATGCCAATAAAGCATATTGATCTCATTAGCGTGAGCGCGAGGTGCGGGCCGCAGGGGGGGCTGCAGCGTGTAATGGGGCAGCATTGATTATGGCTGATAACTCTCGCTCTTTCATGTGGATAATGCAGTCTCTCCCTTCCTGCCTTTACACTCTGAAACCCCCCGAGGCACAGAGGAGATTGGGTTTACTGACAGCGAGACACGAGGGGAGTGCATGTGCACATGCACGGTGCACACGGCACGCCTGGATGCGACATAAAGAGGTTCTGAACAGGAGGGAGGAACAGAAGAATGTAAAATCATACAAACATGTTCTTCTTTGTAGAAAAAAGTAAATGAAATTTTTATTTTTCTCACAGGATGGACAACACCTGAGAGCAGACTSCAGGTCAGCTGGACCCTCTAACAGGCCTACATGATGCAGACATGATGCACACAGTCCAGAGTTTGACCCATGAAAACTCTGACAAGTTTAAACAAAAACAACAGKGAATAATCTGAGCAGAATAATCTGTTTTGTTGCTCTGAAACCTGGAGTTAAGATGGTTRATGAGGCAAGCCCCTCAGAGATGACCTCATCTGTTCCTCAGCTCCATCAGCTGACCCCAGAGATGCTGAGGGAAGATGGCGCCCTCTGCTGGAGAGGGACCAGTAAGGCTTCATCCTGGAGCTCAGTTTGAAATGTTCTGCTTAACAAATGTCCACAGGTTCAAACCTTATTTATGAGCTCACAGGCTTTTCTTTTTAACGTAAACAAGAAAGAAACAACAAAATTATTTTTATATGTTTTCATTAGTTCATTTAAGGTTTACTTGCCACTGAGTTGTTCATCTCTGAGGGAAACTCAGAAATACAAAGATAAACTCAGTGAAAATTTAAAATCAAATCATATCAAATAAACGTCATTTTAAAATCTTTCTAAATACACCTTTAAAATAAATGTGCAGTTAAAAATAACATATGGACATTGTTTTTTGTTTGGTTTGTTATTTGAGTACATAAAATCAAAACACAACAAGTCAACTTTTTCAGACATATATTAGCTTTTTAATCAAAATTTCATCTCAGCTGCAACATTTCTCAATAAAAAATGGAGGTCAGCAACCAGGTGTTTAAAAAAACCTTAGTGTTTTTTAGCATGTTAGCTACAACCAGTTAATTTAGCATATTAGCTACAGTTATTACAGCATATTAGCTTACTATCAATCAGTTGATATAGCTTATAAGCTTCACCCAGTTGATTTAGGCCATTAGCTGCAACCAGTAGATTTAGCTTGCAAGCTTCAACTAGTTGACATATTAGCTACAATCACTTGATTTAGCATAACAGCTACATTTAATTTAGTATATGACCAGTTGATTTAGTACGGAAGCCGAGAGCRGCCGTTTTCCCTTTAATTAGTTTTCCATGGTTATCTCGAGAAAATGCTCCTCTATATTTCGTGATAACGACAAAATTAACTCGTTATCTCGAGAAAACACTCCTCATTATTTTGTGATAATGGCATAATTAACTTATCTGGAGAAAATGATCCTCGTTATTTCATGATAACAACATAAATAACTCATTATCTTGAGAWAACAGTCCTTGATTTCTCGTGATAACGACATAATTAACTCATCTCGAGAAAACGCTCCTCATAATTTCGTGATAAAGACATAATAAATTGTTATCTCAGGAAAATGCTCCTCATTATTTTGTGATGACATAATTAACTTAATATCTCGAGGAAACCATCCTCGTTACTTCATGATAACGACATAATTAACTCATCTTGAGAAAACAGTCCTCAATATCTCATGAAAACAACATAATTAACTCATTATCTCGAGAAAATGATCCTCGTTATTTCATGATAACGACATAATTAACTCATTATCTTGAGACTACAGTCCTCGATATCTCGTGATATCGACATAATTAACTCATTATCTCAAGAAAACGCTTCTTGTTATTTTGTGATAATGATATAATTAACTCGTTATCTCAAGAAAACGCTCCTCATTATTTTGCGATAACGACATATTTAACTTAACTCGAGAAAACGCTCCTCGTTATTTCATGATAACGACATAAATAACTCATTATCTCRAGAAAACAGTCCTTGTTATTTGTGATAATGACATAATTAACTTGTTATCTCGAAAAAACAGTCCTCAATATCTCACGAAAACAACATAATTAACTCATTATCTTGAGAAAATGATCCTCGTTATTTCATGATAACGACATAAATAACTCGTTATCTCGAGAAAACNTTATCTCGAGACAACACTTCTTGTTATTTCGTGATAACGACATAATTAACTTGTTATCTCGAGAAAAAGGTCCTTGCTATTTCAAGATAATGACATTTGTTGTTATCACAAGAAAACCATGTTATAATTATAAGCAGAAAATGGCCACTCTGCTTCCACAGATTTAGCATTTTAGATACAACCACTGGCGTTTGCAGATAGCTGCAATCAGTTGATATAGCTTATAGGCTTCAACCAGTTGATTTAGGCCATTAGCTGCAATTAGTTGATTTAGCTTATTAGCTTCAACTAATTGATTTAGCATTTTAGCTACAATCATTTGATATAGATTATTAGCTACAACCAGTTAATTTAGCCAAATTATACAAAGGAAAGAAAGGGCAGATTTTATGAATTTCCAAGGTTAGTTGGATAACAAGCAAATGTTGACAGCTTTTCTGTTGGGAAACCACCATTTGTCCTCCAACAGGGATGCTAGCCTGACATTCGCTTGCTAACAAAGCTAACATAATAAGGCACTGAAGACCCAATAGGTCCAAAACATTTATTTTCCAGGTTCTATGTCCACTGAGCAGCCTTTCTGTTATTCCTTAGAGAAACATCCTGACAAACAGCTTTCAGTGTGTTGAAGGGTTTCAACTAAATAAATTAAGTCAGTAAACATCTAACGAGCCTTTTTACAAGACAGGATTTGTTTGTTAATAATTTTTGAAAAACTTTTGACAATGCTGCCAAGACTTAACATTAAAATACTAACATTTGAAGTCAGTTTCCATATTTATAATTGTTTAAAATCTTTTTTATTCCACAAAGAAAAATATCTTCTTCCTTTAACTCATCTGTCACTGGTCAGGTCCAGTTTGTTGCTGGGATTTTACATCTACTTGTTCAATTTGTTTTCAGACATTTTAAATAACAATTTGCCTAAAGATTTAATGTTTAACAGTTGAAATATTAAATAAAAGCAGGAGGTTTGAAATCTAAAGTAGAAGAAATGTTTTTAYAGTAATAATGCCCTCTGTGATGAATGAATGGGTAAATATTAAACACTAAAAGCTGAATATATCAGGACTGAATTAACTTAACGCAGCAAAACGTTCACTGAGCCACAGCTGGAGGTGAAAGCTGGTGGTTTTAATGTTGTGGCTGATTCCTTACAGATAAAGCTACTTCATTGTTTGGAGAGTTTTGAGAAGTCTCAGTCAGAATTATAGTTTTGAACTGAGAAAGTGAAAATTTTGCTTCGTGCAACTGTTTATTGAGACATTTTTATTTTAATCTGCAGTTTCAGGTTTATGTTTTCAGACTGCCACCTAGTGGACACAAAGCCTTTAACATGCCGACTCATAAGAAAATTTCAGTTTACAGTTTACAGAATATTGAACGTTAATTATTTTTATTCCACCAACATAAATCCCCAGAAATCATGCCATGCATCCATCTGTTCATCCGTTCCCCCTCATTAACTGTGATGGGATTCATCCCTGACATGGCCGGCCCGAGACAATTTAAGGCCCGGGGCAAGGCTTCAGGTGGGGCCCAGTGTGCAGTTTTCTAAATCATCGGCTGACATCATGAGCAACACCTGTTCATGTTAACCAGCAGGTGTGGACTGAAGCAGTTCTAGGGGGGTTTACTACCGTGAAAAATATGTAAAAGGTCCAACAAAAAAACTGACTTTATGAAGGTAGAAGACTAAAAACCAGACTTGAACCTGACATGAAACTTCCTTTATCTTTATTTTATTTTGTTTCCACACGGAGCAGCAGAATTAGTCCTGACTCCATCATATGATACGTTTATCATGAAACATCCTCAGCACCATTTATCACTTCATACGAAAACACAAGTTGCCTTCATAGGAACCAGTAATTATTCTACTAAATCAACTAAACTTYGTAAAAAAAGTTATGTTTTCGTATCCTCTTGTGGCGCCCCCCCTTGCCTACACCGCCTCTGCCYCGTCTCTGAAAGACGTTACCTCTCAGGGATGCAACCCACCACACGGTTCTGACCCAAAACCCTAACGAACACATCGAAGCTACATGTTTAGGCATGCACCTTTGTTTCATACAAAAGTAAAAACAGAAGTAGGCTGTAAAAATAAACCCAACATCAACGCTCGCTGCAGACGACRCGCTCTACAGTCAAACATCGTCTGAGTGCGTCCATCGTACCAGTATACACAAATATTTACATGCAAACTTCCTCGTCCCCTGGGCGAGCACGGCAGTGGTGGCTTTAAGGACAGGATCATGCTGCGTCGCAGACAACAGGAAGCTGAGACATTAACTTATTGATTTGGGCCTGGAGAAGGCGTTTAAATTTGAGCCAAATCGGTTTAAAATCGTTTTATTTTTTTAACTTTGTGGAGGTTAAATAAAAATAAACTTTAATTTAGAGGAAATATGTTTAGTTTTATGCTGAATGTCAAAGAATCAGCAACTGATCGTGATTAACTTTTGTTTTGTTGCTAGCAGAGGTTAGCTCTTGGCTGCGGTGCATTCACAGACCAGAAGGAAAAAATCTGAAATCTGAGCGTCTAACCTGCTGCTGAAAAGCTGCTTAATGAAAATCTTCTGCTGTATTCTGGACGACTTTTAAAACAATTTGTTTTATTATTTCATTATTAAAATGAATATTTTAGAGATAGTAATGAACATTAGTGCCTCCATTAGGCTGAAAATAGCATTTTGGGCTCAAATTATGATTTTTTTTAACATATATATCCTGTTATAACAGATTAAAGTGTAATTACAGGTTCTTTAATTGTAAGAAGTGGCACTAATTAGTAAGTACTCAAATATAAGTAAAAACCTGTGTGTATCCCTGATTCCCAGTTGTCTCGTCGTTTTAGTTGGACTCAGTCCAGTTAGTCGTGTTCAAATATCAACAAATGGATTTTAGATTTCAGGATTTATTGTTTTTTTAATGCAAAAAAATAAAAATATAATGAAAAAGAACATACTGTCCCCAAACAAGAATAAGAGAAACGGGGGATTAAACCACCACCAACACTGGGAGGCCTGAGGGGAGGGGGAGGAGCATGCAGGGGGGAGGAGGAGGAGGGGGCGTCGAGGGGGCGGGGTCTCCTGGTGCTTTGATCAGGCCTGTCGGAGAGAAGAGGTGTGTCTTTAAGGAGAAAGAATGATTTCCTGTTGTTGAAATGAAACACAGGTACAACTGTTACACTTTTTTCTTTGTTGGAGGGAAATCTTGATGTTTGGACGATTCAGCACTTTTATTTYCTCCACAGTAAAAGAAAAATAAAACACTTAAAGTTGACTTTACATATCTTGGAACTTGGGTCAGATTTATCACCTACAGTCCACTGAGTCCACACAAATCATTCAGAACATAAAAACATTCAGTTTCATCACATCTACAGCTTCAGTGCTAAAAGCAGGTTTTTAAACACAAACACAGAGTGGGACAGGTCTGCAGCTGCTGCACACGTCTTCTGTTTATACCTGTTTAATCATTTCTCCAGTTTTCTCGATGACGATGGTTTTGGCCTCTTTGATCGGTGAGGTGACCTGGTAGTCGTCACTGAGGAGCCCCAGCATGGGGTACTGGTTCCTGTACCTGCAGACCCAAACAGAACCAGACTTTTCCTGCTTCGCATTTCTTTACAAACCAAACACATTTAAAATCATCTCAGAGCTCGACTTTTTAACATTTAAACTAATCCTGGACTACATTTGGCCTGAAGGTGAAACATGGGCTGAAGGCAGACGTTCAGGTGTGTTCAGTGGAGGGGGGCGGCGGTGGGTTTACCTCTTGGTGATGACGGTCTTGGTGACGTTCTTGGAGGTGTCGCTCCTCTCCATCATCAGCTTCCGGATCTCCTGTCAAAACAAATGAGCTCAAAGGTCAACAGAGAGCWCTGACATTTGGTTCCAGGTATTCTTCGGCTGTTAAAGCTTCAGCTGCTTCAGGTGAGTGTTTCAGCCTGAGTGAGCTTGCAGTGATGTCCTTAGAAAGGATCTTACAGGCGTCTGCCGGCAGTAAAACACTCCTGAGTTTTAATTAAACCTCCACAGATCAGTTGAAGCGAGGCAGAAAACAACAAGCTGAGAATGCAGACGGACCAGAAGAGCGACCRCAGACGACAACGTGAAGGTTCTTCAAACATCAAACACTTGGTGTGTCTGAAAGCTCATCAATCAGCTGCAGCTTGGCCGGGTTTATCACAGGTTAACTGTTTTGTTGTTTCTCTACGTGTCTGCAGTAAACACACTGAGTGGAAGTGTAGAAGTGGAAGGTGTGCAGGGTGTGTGTTTGTGTGTTTGTGTTGCAGACCTCCTCCTGTTTCCTGATGGTGACCTCCCTCTGCTCCACAATCCTGAGCAGCTCAGAGATCCTCAGCTCGAGGCTCTTATCTGCGGAGGAGGACTTGGTGGTGGTGGTGGTGACCTCCGTCTGGATCTTTGTGATCTGGGACTGAGCAGAGGGACACCTGGTTTTATTATTACAGCTCGTCATTATGAAATGAATGAGAGAAGAATCTTTATACTTTCTATCTTTTTAAAGTCGTACATTAATGTGGCCTGAACAACAACATGCACCCCTGCAAATGTTAGATCAAAACACTGACTCAGCGGTGAGGTGTACTATTACTGTTAGTGGTGTTTCCAGTTATCATGGTGGGTCAGAATTTGTCCACACTATTTGCCTGATTGGATTCGTCACCTTGAGATGCACCAGCAGACGTTAAAGCAGATAGAAAATTGTTATTCGTCTGCCTGATTCTTCTGTTCCCAAAACAACTGATTACAGAATCTGGATCTCCCCGACAACGGCCTTGAGCTGTTGACTAAATTCTTCCTGGCTGGATTACGTCGACAAGGCTCTGCCCCCCACCTCCCCCTCCTCCTCTCTCACCCATCTAATCTGGCTCCTGAGCAGGTTGAAGGCCGCACAGAATGAACAGTTCCATCAATAATCTGAACTTCTATCTGCGCTGGTTTTGGGGACTGGATTCTTCGGGCCCCCTAATCTCACTTACTCCTCTGGATAATAAATCTGCCCTATGCAGAGTTTTTTTTTCATAAACACCATAGTGTGTCACAGTGTTGATATAATATGATGTTTTTGCTATTTTTCCTCATCTTCCCTTGTGTGGTTTTTTAGTTTTTCTGTTGTTTTTGTTGTTATTGTGGCGCAACTGTGTTTTGCTGCATGACCGGTCTTAACTGCCCCCCACCCCTTCCCTGAATGTACAGCACCTTGTGAATTTATTTCTGTGAAAGGCACTGTATAAATAAAACTTTACTTACTTACTTACTTACTTACATAAATCACAAAAAACGACCATCAAAAATCCTCATAAGAATGCACTGAGCCCAGCTCAGAGTCATGTGATCTACAGTGAGAGCTGTCTGGCTTTTAAAAGATTTCCTAGCAAACAACTTCGTCCTACAGCTACAATTTTCATGATACATAAACAAATTATATATCAAAATGTTGGCATTTTAGTCTTCTTTCAGACAATTTTTCTGRTTTTRCTGTAGGACAAATGGTTTTCTCTCAAAGTGCATCAGACGTCAGACGTTTTAATCTTAAATTTCTTTGACGATGGCATTCAGATGCAAAACAATGATTTAAACTCATCATATCTCTGAGAAAAAGCATTGTACAAATTTGAAAATCTACAAGCGTAAGAAYCAATCTCTTCTGTCACTCATGGTTCAAGAATTATTTGAATAAACCTTATAGTTTTCACACAGCRGCTGGTTGTCTAAACTAAACTTTTCAGATTTTCTCATGTTAGAAATGCCGTGCTGCAGATGGTTTCTGCTCCTCCCTGTAATGACATCACTATCAGGCCTTCTGATTGGCTGAGGCTGTTGCTGGGCAGAGTAGCCTCAGTAGCTGCATTTCCATTGCAAATGTGTGCAAAATTTTGTCGATATTTTGTTAATGTCGAAAAAACTSTTTCGCAATTGGGGTGTTTCCATTAAGTAAGAAATGTTATTAAAGTCACGCGTGAATACGTTTGTTCTTGCAATAAGTCATTACAAACATGGCGGCAATGGATGTAAACACATAGCATGTTGCTAACATGATGCTAGCGCTCATCATCATCAGGGGAGACGTCAACATCTTATCAAGGCTTTCAAGTGACGAGCTCCTTATACTTAGGAGTGGCTACGTATGCTGTGTTTTTAGGAAATTGTAGTCGGTGAGTTTTCTACTTTCTACTTTCTTCGTCATCGTCTTTTTCACCAGTAGAAACAGCCGGTTGTTGATCACGTGACTCCCGTGATGCGAACAAAGTGTTTCCATTTCAGTTTTGCGAAAAACACCAATTTCAATACGGCTGAAATACCACCGCACCCTAGCGCAAAAACATTTTGTCGAAAAAATGAAGTTTTTCGAAAATGACGTGTTTCCATTGAGCAAATTTATTTTTGAAAATCTAATTTGCGCATTTTCATGGTCAATGGAAACACAGCTAATGACAGAACAACAAGAGGCTTTATGGAACCCAACATGGCTCCCAGATTACTCAGCAGTTTTAATACAAGTTTGAAATTTGGTGGGTTAATAGCTGAAAGCTAACCCAACACATTCTGAATGCTACAAAGACGTTTAAGCTAACTGCTAATGCAAATAAAAAAAAAAGCTAATTCAGCCATTTTAAGACTTACAGAGCAGAAAATTACCACAGCTAGTATGAAACCACAATAACTCAGACATTTTAAGACACTTTTAGCTAAAATTTGTTGTGGTGGTAGCTAAGAAGGATCTCCATCACATTATGAAGCCAAATCAAAATCCAAGATGGCCGCCATAGCTAAGATGCAAAATTGACTATAACTAAACCATTTTTAGACATATTTGAGAAGCCTTTTCATCGTTTCTCCAGGAAATATTCTAGTTTCTTTGTTTGTCTTGTTGATAAAACACAGTTTGACCCTCTGGRGGTGTTGGGGGGTCTCACCCTGAGTCTCTGGATCTCCAGGTCCTTCTCTTGCCTCATGGCGTTGAGCTGGTCGCTGTACTGGCGGGACAGCTCCTCTGTCTTTATTTGCAGCGAGGCGCTGCTGGCCTGTCCCGACAGCTGCAGGACACATGGACACACTTCAGCTCGGTCTGAAGGAGATGTCGTGTCTTTTCAGAGCCATGCTCTCTCACCYTCTGTCTGAGCATCTCGTTCTCCTTCTCCAGCGCTCTCATCCGCCCCTCCAGCTCTTTCACCTTGAACTCACGTCCCGAGTCGTTGTTTCGGCTGCTCATCAGCTGATTCTCCAGAGTCCGCTGAGCCGAGCTGGCTTCCTTCAGAGACAGCTGCACAAAGACGAGACAAAGGTTCAGATTCAGGAAGACGCTTTCTGAAACGACGGCTGGAAGAACTCCTGGATTTAAGATGGAAGCAGGAAGCTGCTCTTCAGGTTCTGCAGCACCTTTGATTCTTCTCTTTCTGACCCGTTCTGTTGCGGGTCAGCTGCTGCGTTTGCTGCAGTGCATTGTGGGTAAACATCTGTGCTGTGTTAACTGTAAGCTGTGACAGGAAGGAGCGGAGCTTCGGTACCTGCAGCTGCCGGTTGTTCTCCCTGACGGCCTCCAGCAGGGAGTCGTACTGTTTGGCCTGGTCCGCCTTAAAACTCAGATCTCTCTCCAGGAGCTCCTTGTCGCTCTCCAGACGCTGTGAGCACAAACACAAACACAGCTTTGTGTTTTTATCTTCAGGAATGACCTGAGCTGAGCTGCTGGACGGCTCTGATCTCATGTTTCTGACTCTGGGAGGAGGAGGATCTCACCCGCAGGTCTTCAGACATCTGCATGAGCTCCTCTCTAAGACTGCTGAAGGTGGAGAGCAGCAGACGCATGCTTTTATCTGCAGTGAGGCGAGTCTGAAACACACACACACACACACACACACACACACACACACACACACACACACACACACACA